AGTTACATATCTGGCAAGGGACTTATCTCTAAGATTTATAGAAAACTCTAATGGCTCGACAGCAAAGGAATTAACAATCCAATTGAAAAATGGGCAGAAGACATGAATAGGCACTTCACCAAGGAGGATATTCAGGTGGCCAGCTAATACATGAAGAAATTATCACGATCATTGGCCATCAGAGAGATGCAAATCAAAACAACAGTGAGATACCATCTCACCCCAGCACAGATGGCAAGGTTCGACAAAACAGAAAATAACAAATGCTGGCGAAGATGTGGAGAGATTGGGACTCTCATACACTGCTGCTGGGACTGTGAAGTGACACAACCACTGTGGAAAGCAGTATAGTGATTCCTTAGAAAGCTGGAATTGGAGATACCATTTTACCCAACAATCTCATTACTAGGTATATATTGTAGAGAGGTGAGAGCCAAGACAGGACAGATATATGCACACTCATGTTCATCACAGCACTATTTACAATAGCAAAAAGATGGAAATAACCTACGTGCTCATTCGCGTAAGAGTGGGTGACAAAACTATGGTACATACACACAATGGAATGCTATAAAGCAGTAAAGAATAATATAGAATCTGCAAAACCCTGCATAATATGGATGAATTTGGAGGACATTATGCTGAGTAAAATAAGTCAATCACAGAAGGACAAATATAGTGTTAGTTCATTGTTGTGGAGGGTCAAGGAAAGGTTTATATATGGAGGGAAACTGTTAGTTGCCAGGGGTGAGAGTGAAGGGGAGGGAACACAAAAAAAAAAAAAAAAAATGCATTAACCCATGTCACTTTAGTTTTGTGTATTTCACTGTACAAAAATTGTATTTCCATAAAATGCATTAAAAAAAATAATAATAATGCTAAAAACATATTTTGAAACATTTTCTGAATAGGAAACAGATACACTATTTAAGTAGTATAGCCATCTGTACTTGCTGAATACAAAAATAGAAATTATAAGATGATGGTATCTGATAAAACAAGTTAACAGATTTCAATGAAATAGTCCATATATAATAATAATAATAATAAAGATGCAACGAACAGTAAAAGACAGAAACTCAAAATCTCAATAGTTAATTCTAGCTCAGTACCTTTGATCTGATCTCCTGGCCCGAATGTTTTCTGATTCACTGAAATGTGATGAACAGGATGAGACTGTGGACTATGACCATGTTCTGGAATCATTCCATGGCATGACTTTGCTACTTTTCCATTGGGATAATTAGCCACAGAACTAATGTGCAACAGAAGTATGAAGACACCAAGTGTAAATCCAGGAAGCTCCATCTCAAAAAGAGGATTAAAAGCATATTATTTTCCAATGTAATTAAAATAAAATATAAATACTTTCGTATCACAGAACAGTAATTCTAGACATGTAAATTTCTAAACATAAAAAATAATGATAAAAACATACTTTGGAACATGTTCTGAACAGGAACTTGTCGATTTCAGCTACTTGTCAATTTTCAGCCAATCAAATGCTCAAAACAGATAATAAAAATAACATAATACATGAAGTCTGGCCTATGTTTCAACCCTACCTCTACCATTTTACACTTTAGGCAAATCACTTAAGCCTCTATTTCCTGAAAAATGAAGAAATTTAGAGCCTCCTTTTAAAATTGTTTCAGTAAAGTCTGACAAGAAAGATAAATGTTACCTTTCATTAATTTTACTGAGAAATTGCAATCCAGCCTATAAAAGCAAAAGGTTCTACTCCACTTCATTCAAGAAAGCTTAAATAAATGTTTTTCTGAAAGGGACCCAATTTGCTGGTCTGACAGATCCTGATGGAACCACTGAGACTACGGCCCCTAGCTGGCCTTCAAGTCTGGAATTGAACCCACTCCCGTGGCATCCAGCCAAACAAAAGACAGGCATATGAGCTGAACATTTACATTAGGTAGGTACACTCCTTGGAATGTACACTCCTATCAATCATGGGAGAATAGAAGAGCTGTGTATGCATAGGAAGACAACTTGGTGGGCAGAAGTGCATGGGTGGGAAGGACACAGAGAAGAGTAACTCTGGGGAGAAAGTGGGAGGGGAGCTGTTGCATTGTGGGAAACTGCAGTCAATGTCATGAGACAAAGTGTATGTGAGCTGTTGTATGGAAAGTGAATTTGTTCTGTAAGCATTCACCCAAATCACAATAAAAATTTTTTAAAAAATGTTTTTCTGAAACTATTTGACTGATAACCAGAAGGCAGTCAAATAGTTTCAGAAAAAATTTCTTTTTTTTTTTTTTCAAATCTCCCAGACACACCTTGGAAGGAAGATTGGGCAATCTACTTCCATAGTGATACTGCCTCGGAAACCCAAGGAGGGGTCCCTATGAGTCGGATCCAACTCGACGGCAGTGAGTTTGTTTGGTTTTTTTAATATATCCAGTAAGAATATCATAACCAAAATATATATGTAACTTTGACAAAACAAAACCCACTGCCATCGAGTTGGTTCCAACTCATCGCAACCCTCTAGCACATAGTAAAACTGCCCTATAGGGTTTCCAAGGCTGTAAATCTTTATGGAAGCAGACTGCCTCATCTTTCTCCCATGGAGCAGCCGGTAGGTTTGAACTGCCAACCTTTTGGTTAGCAACCAAATACTTTAACCACTGCATCACCCATAACAGACAACTTAACAAAAAAAAAAAAAAAGACAATCTTAACATGAACAAAGGATTTGAATAGACATTTCATGAAAAAGGACATTCAAATGGTCATCAAACACATGAAAAGATGCTCAACAATATCAGCCATCAGAGAAATGCAAATCAACACCACAGTGAGATATCATTTCACTCTCACTAAGATAGTTAAGATTAAAAAATAAATAAATGAACAGAAAGTAACAAATGTAAGAAAGGATGTGGGGATGCTGGAACATTTACCTACTATAAGTGGAATGCAAAATGGGACAGCTGTTGTGGAAAGCAGTATGGCAGTTCCTCAAAAAAACTAAAAATAGAACTACTATTTTTAGTAGTTGATACCAATTCCAGTCTGAGATATATATCCAAAACACTTGAAAGCAGACTCAAACAGATATTTGTATATCAAGTTTTGTTGTAGTGGGAGGGGAGCTGTTGCATTGTGGGAAACTGCAGTCAATGTCATATGTACAACAGCCAAAAGTTGCAAACAACCTAAATGTCCATCAACAGATAAATGGATAAACAAAGTATGGTACATACATACAATGGAATACTACCCATCCAGTAAGAAACAAATCTTGATACGTGCTACAATACGGTTGGAGCTTGAAAACATTATGCTGAATAAAATAAGTCAATCACAAAAGGACAAATATTGCATGATCTCACTTAAATAAAAAGGCAAGAAAAGGTAACTAACTGTATAGAGACCAAAGTTTATTAGTGGTTACCAGGGGAAGGAGAGAGGGGGAAAGGCAGGGGTGGTTAACAACAATGGAAAAATTACATTGATTAAGGGTGGGGTTGCATAGCTGATTACTGTAATTGCTGTCAATAAGCTATACACATGTAAAAAGATGAATTGGCAAAAGTTGTGTCATAGATATATTTATAACAATGACAAAAAAAAAGCAGTTGCTAAGGGTGCTTAAGGAGCTCTGGTAGCATAGTGCCTAAGGCACTTGACTGCTAACCAGAAGGCTGATGGTTCAAACCCACCAGCCACTCCTCAGAAGAAAGGTTGGGCGATCTACTTCTGTAGTGATACTGCCTTGGAAACCCAAGGAGGGGTCGCTATGAGTCAGGTCTGACTTGACAGCACATAACAACAACAACAAGGGTGCTTATGTACAACCAAAAACCTCACAGAATTTGGTTTCTTGGTTTATGGGTTTAAGGTCATGATTTCATGGGACATTTCAGTTAACTGGGCTAATAATATGTTTAGTGCTTATGTTGTGTTGTACTTCCTAGTTAGCTGTGTATTGCCTGGGCTCTTAAAAGTTTGTAAGTACTTATCTAAAGCATCAAAACTGGTCTCTATTCACCAGAAACAACAGAGGAAGGAAAGTCACAAATAGGAGTAGTGTGGCTGTCTCCGTGAACAACAGTCTCTTTGCCATAAGACCAGAACTGAACAGTGCCTGGCTACCCTACCATTACTGAGTATTTTGTTCAAAGATTCTATAGAAGAATCCTGATCAAATGGCAGAAAATGCAGAATTTCAAATTCTTGTGGATTCCAGATTTTCTGGAGCCAGAAAGCTAGATGAACCCTGAAACTATTGCCCTGAGAAAAATCTTTAAAACTTAAGCCAAAAATATCTCCTGAAGTCTTCTTAAAACCAAACAATACTTTAGCTTCACTAGGAAAAAATCTGCCTTCAGCATTGAGCTTTTTTAAGAACTATCTATAAGGGATCAGAGTGACAATAGTAACTTGAAAAGATTAAATAGGAACCTTAGGGTTCAATGAGTTTATGTTAATGAGGAAGGAACTACTCAAAAAGGAGGGTGAGAATGGTTACACAACTCTCAAAGAATGTAATCAATGTTACTGAATTGTCCCTGTAGAAACTGTTGAACTGCTTATGTTTTGCTGTATATACTCAACAAAAACAACAAAATAAAATTAAAAAAAAAGAAGAAGAAGAAGAATCAGGAACAAAAATTCCAAAAAAAAATTGTTGCTTCTAGATTTAAATATGATCATTTGAACAAAATCTCTGATGTAACTTCTCCCAACTTCCCATTAAACTCATCACAAGACCATGATAGATTATTTAATCTGCAATACTGAAAACTGAAGATAACAAGCAGCAAAATGTTTCTATTACCTATAGTCCAAATACTTACGAATTAAGAAACACAACTGTCATCCCATTCAATCTTTCTGCCACCCTACTCATCCACATTTCACCATCTGCATGCTAGAAAACCAACTACTTATCATCAGTTCCACTTCTTCCAGCCCACATCACCACTTCACTTCATGCAGATATTCCCAGTCTACAAATCAGAGTATACAAGACTGGAGGTAATTGGGCAGGGAATTACTACCTGATACATGCATGGTTCTGTAGTGATACTGCCTCGGAAACCCAAGGGGGGGTCACTATGAGTTAGGTCAACTCCACAACTCCATGGCATGTAACAACAACAGCAACATGCATAGTTACATGGTAGTAATAAACTCAACACTGTTTAGGAGCTCTGGTGGTGTAGTGGTTAAGGCATTTGGCAGCTAACCAGAAGGTCAGTGGTTAGAACCCATCAGCCACTCCTCAGAAGAAAGATGAGGCAGTCTGCTTTTGTAAAGATTTACAGCTTTGGAAACCCAGGGAGGGTCGCTATGAGTTAGAATTGACTTCAAAGAAATGAGTTCTTTTTAGTGGACAGCAGGAGACAGGTAAAGCCAAGGAAGCAGTTCACTCTCCCTAGAAATGGAGTTTTCTAAATGATACTTCTGGTCATGTTGTTGTTGTTATGTCCCATGGAGTCGGATCTGACTCATAGCGACCCCTCCTTCGGTTTCCAAGGCAGTATCACTATGGAAGTAGATTGCCCAACCTTCCTTCCGAGGAGTGGCTGGTGGGTTTGAACCGCCAGCCTTCAGTTAGCAGTCAAATAAATAAATGCCTTTGGCACTAGGCTACCAGAGCATAGGTAAAAATAAAAGTAGCCTTAGAACCACTAGAATAATTATCTTCCTTAAAAACCCTGCTGCCTTCTAATCAGGTCTGACTTATAGCGACCCCTCCTTGGGTTTCTGACATGGTATCACTACAGAAGTAGATTGCCGAACCTTCCTTCCATTATCTTCCTTAAAGTCCTGTAAACAGACAATGGGATATGAAAAGACCTCACACTGGTCCAAAGCTAAACTACAGGCATTTCTGCTAGACATCAGATATGGTGCTGGGAGTTGCAGCATTTATCCAGTCCTGCATTTTATGCTAGGAGCTACCAAATATGCATGTGTGTGTGTGTGTGTGTGTGTGTGTGTGTAATAGTTTTTAGCTGACAAGTAGTGGTGACGTGTAAAGTTCTTAGGATGGTAATGAGGCAGGAGAAGTAAATGAAGGAATTACAACCTTTACCCAACCTAAACAGGGAAGTTCTGTTGAGCAGTCAAACAACTTGTTGTCAGGCCAGAGACATCCAGCTCAGACCGGCTTGAAAAACCATGTATAGAGAGTGGAAAATTCCTCTGTCCTGCTCCCCCTCCCTTCTTCCTCTGCCCATACTCCCCATCCTCTCTTCCTCTTGAGCACATTTAACTTCTGTAAAAACTGCTAGCTGTAGGTGCTCTTTTTGCAGGTTGTTTGCAGGTAACCCATCACCCTC